CTTATGACTGCTAGTAACAAAGTACCTAAATATACAACTTAAAACCGGTTCTTTGTTGTGTGTTTTGTGTAAACACTGAATCAGGAGACTTTTTTTATGCTTGCATGGTTCATAGGTCAGTGTTAAGTGGGTGAACATAGGAAGAAACATTCCTCTGCAATTGATCAGGTACAAGGACTGGATGGGAAATGAGTGAAAAAGCAGCCAATGTCCAAAGAAAAACTTTAAAAGACATCGAGAAAGGCCTGGAGAACTGGTGCTGAAGAACACCTTAAAAAATACTGGCAACCACCAGTGCTGCCTCTCAATGTCACAGCAGACACACTTATAGTATCAGTTTCAAAATCCTACATTGCCTTGTTCTCAAGTTATCACATTCACATAATTTTCAGAAAGCTTTTTCTGTCTTTGCCATCAAGCTCAGTGAGATTCGAACTTGTCCAAGATTTGTAGTAGATGCACCTGTGGTATCAATTTGAAAATCCAAAGTGACTTCCTTCTCGAGTTATCGCCTTCACAAATTAAGGTGTCCCAGTGGGGTGACGCACAAAGCCCATCAGCCTTTTATGGCTGAGGAAAATATAAAGAAATGATGCGTGGCTCAAGACTTCAGACTTTTTCTCAGTTCTCTAAACTAACTACACATGTTCATAGAACCTTAGTAGCAGATATTGAAAACCTATCTCAAGCAGTTTTTCAGAAAACTGAATAATTGAAATAAATGAATAACAGCTGTGATTTAATTCACATTAAGAAGTTTATCTTTCCCCTGGAATTTTGTCTGAGATGTTCAGGTAGAATCTGCTAAAAATAACACTCTGATCACACAGCCAGTTATTTAAATCTGGAAAAAATGTTTATTGAATAGAGAGAGAAAAAAAACAGGACAGTTTGTCAAAAATAAACACCACTGACTCTTTATTAACATTTTGGTGAAATAAATCTTAAGAGTGCCAAGTCAGCTGACCTCACCTTTCTTTCCAAATATAATCTGTAAAATCTGTGAATGCAGCTGCAAAAGATGCCGATATTTCAACTTCCTGCACAGCATCTTCAGGTAAACCCTGACAAACCGCAGATTCCATCTACTAAACAAAAAAGGCTACAAGTGTATTATTATTATTATGATTATGGTGATACAAACACCAAAACAGCCTCATGTACAAAAAAAAAAGAAGAAAAACTTCACGTCACCCATATAAAATGTCATTTTCTGTGATATTACCAGCTTTCGTTTGGATTTCCTTAAACATTTTTATAATTAGTGTTAATTTAATTTGTGAAAACGTCATGCCTGGAGGAGTTAGTATTTACAGACTGTGACATAAAGTCAGCTTGTGTCATTTGGCAAAGTCGTAAATGAGGCAACAATTTGCCAAACCTATGAAGGATAATGACCCTTTTGCTTTTTTTTTTTTGGATAAAATACATATTACACATAATGAGAAAACACCTCAAACAGAAAGCCATACACCTTTGTCATACACCCCAGTTCTGCTGCAACAAACCAGCGTACCGCTGGCTCTACTTCCAATAGAATCTAGACACAGAGATTTGAGTATGTTTGTATTAAAGGCTTCGCCACAGCGCTCAATCTCTCCGAAGGTTATTCAGACGCTCCTCCAGGTCTGCGTCTGCGTCGGCCAGGGTCGCCTGAGGCTCCGCCTTCTTCCCTCCTGCCACCGACAGGCTTCCGCCAGTGCTCGGCAAGCCTGAAATAAACACGGGGCGTTAAAAGAAAATATCCAGAGAGTCAAAGAAAAAAACGTAAAAGGGTTTGTTTTTTTTCTTACTTGACAGTTCATCGGACAGGTTCAGACCCAGCTCATCCAGCACTTGGGACACAATGGCGTCGCTGTGTAGGAAGCACAGACATGGAGAGTAAATCAGAAGTCTGCCAGTCGTATTGATATTGGGTGCCAGATAAACTTCTTCTTTAAATGATTTTAAAGAAGACTGTTTAATAAATCATCTAATCAAATCAAAGGACAGCAGGGCCACCAGAGAGGGTATCTCACTACTGTCAATAAAAAAAAAAAAGGTAATAGAATAAAAGAGTGTTCTAGATCTCAAACACACCAGATCTGTGATCACTTTTAGCTCATATTTGTCTTTTGTCCGTAAGTGTGTTCTGTTGTATATCTGTCAGCTTCGTTTCATGCTACCTGTCGGGGCGGGCACTACGGATGTAAATTAGTAGCTAAATTGCTTATTGTAGCTTCATTTTTACACAGCTGCGAAAGATGATGGGAAATATGATGAAATTAAAAGATGCAAAGGTTCTACTTCCACATAATTTATCTTATACTTTGATTTAAATGCTGTACTATACTGCTGTTGATATACTAGCACCCTTCTTTTAAACTGTTTATTCCAAATGATAGTTGTCCAATATTACACCTTTCTCATATTTTATTAGTTTTGTTTTTAATGTTTTAAAAATTTAAGAAAGATCACAACTACAGGAGCTTCCTGGCCTTGGAAATCCATTGTCAGGAAGCTCCACGTCCACAGTTTATGTGCTGATGTTAATGCTAGAGGAAGTTTGGAGCTCTACAGTTATGAACTCAGCAGAACGTTGGCAACTTCTAGACCCGCTCTGTAGCTTCATTTTTTAGTTGAGTTTCTCTGGTTCCTAAACACATGACTTGGTGCCATGCTGGCATCCTATTACAGTACCACGCTGGAAATCATTGAGCTCTTTGTTTCACAAATATTTGTAAAAATAAATCACAGGCCTGGGTGATTGATTTATACACCTGTAGCATTGAGACTGAAAACACCTGAGATCCAAGATTAAGAGACTGAACAGCTCAGTACTTTGGTCTGGTCATGTTCCGATGCTCTGAGAATCCCTCACCTCTCCTCCTCATCATCCTCGTCTCCCATGGCGTCGTCGATGGCGTCGTTCATCATCTCTTCCTTCATGTCCATGATTTCACTCTGTCGCTCAAACTCCATCATGATCTTTTGGATCTGAGGCAGTTTCAGCTGTGGGGATGGGATGAATAAATGAGAGTCTGTCAGCACGTTGAGCACGGTGCATTACTATTTTTTAAAAGCTGGATCACAGAATGTTTGCTGGTTATCGGACCTGTCTGTTCATGGTGGCCATGGCTTTGGTGACGCCTTTCATCGCCTGCGCCATACTGTTGTTGGACTTCAGTGTCTGTATCTTCAGGCTGACCGCCTGAATGTTGGCTTTCATCATGATGAACTTCTTAACGTAGCGCCTAGTGCGCACTAAATCTTTGGCCATGATCTTGACGGCGTCCTGCAAAGACCGAAACGATAAAATCACTGTGAACATTCTTCCGGTACAAACGAAACTCTGCTCACAAGCCCCACGGCCTCACCATTTGCCCCTGTTTGGCCATTTTCTTGATGTCAGCGATAATCTTCTTCTCCTGCTGCTCCAGCTTCATTCGCTCCCGGTCCAGTTCTCGCATGGCTCGGTTGAGTGCCCGCTGATTCTGCCTCAGCATCTCCTCCGGAGTCTTCCTCCTTCCAAACAGGAAATCCATCTGGATGTGGATATAAGCAGAGGATCAAATTTGATCAAACAAATATCAGTTATGGCTCCTTTTTTATATTCCTGCAGTCCTCTGGGATCAGTAGCCATATGATGTGGTGACTGAGTAAGAAACAACAGGAACCATTGAAAGTACCCTCTACCTTCAGTTATAAAGTGAGATTAATCTATCCATCTATCTATCCATCTATCTAATACGCCAGTGCCTTTAAATCGTTTTTATCTGGTTCATTATTCGATTAATCAATCAGTTGATCAACAGGTAACAGTCTTCCACAAAACAAAAAATGTCAAGGATTTCCTTTCTTCTCTGATGAGCTTCTCTGTCACACATGGAGTTAAAATAAATCCATGTGGGTCAAAGTAACAAAAACAGGTAACAAAAACAAAAGATTAATAAAAATTTAAAATTAGAATGGAGAAAAATAAAAGTAACTGAAATTTTGATAAACGCAGACTGAAATTACATGAAAATATGGACAATGGAGTCTGCAGTTTTAGTCTCGGTGAGCCTGGTGAGGCTTTGTTCCACATTTCCTGAGACCTGAGATGACCACATGACTATGAATCAGCTCCCTTCAAAAACTCCTGTGTTTATATTGTGGTGTGTATTCTGATCACCAGTCCCCCCCCCACCCCACCCCCAAGTAAATATATAAATAATTAAAATTAAAAATACTAAAGCTTACACCGATAACAGTGGACATTAATGGTTATTTTAAGCCTGAAATATCAGACATCATAATCCTAACTCAAACCTGAGCTCACTCCATTGGCTTACAAACACATTATTAATGATTAAAATCGCTTTTCATCATTACTGTGTCAATAAATTGATAAATAAATGCCTGACATTTGGTCATTTGGTGGATGTGAGAATACGAGATGGGGGGTTTCTATTTGAACTTCTCTGCCTTCCGTACAAATAAAACCCCCACTCTAAACAAATTTACAGCGACATTTTCTACACATATAAACGTGTTTCTAAGGCCGTCTCAGGCTGTCACGAGCCCCTGTTTACTGGACGGTTACTCAGCAGTCAGTTATGTGACCAAAGGCCTGAAGTCTAAATCCAGCCTTGTTTAGTTCGCTTGTTCTCCCCCTCTGGCAGGGCGACAAAAACCAACAGGTAACCCCACCACAGCGTGAGGCCGGCGGTTAAATCTCACCGTGTACGGTGGAGACGGGGGTCCAGACGGCGAACACGGCGCGAAGAGGCGTCAGCTCCAACTTCTGCTCGAAACAAATTTAAACGGTTATTTGTTTTCTTTCCTACGCTTCCGTGTTGCTAGACTTTTACTTCCCGGAAATTACGCCATCGCGCACACCCAGGCAGACGTCAGTTTTACCATGGCGTCACATTTGTCACGTGCCTACAGTCGACACCGAGAAAGACAGACAGACATTTCAAAATAAAAGCTAGAGAACTCTTATACAGTAAAGCTAGCTAAAAAGCTAGCTACAAGCTATTGTTATTTATTTAATTTATTTATTTTTTGCGTTTAACTTAATTCTTAACAAAGGAAGCTGTAACAAGCTGTAACAAAGGAATCTTACAGCCATACAGTGCTGTGAAAAAGCTATTGGCCCCACCCTAATTCTTTCTTTTTGATTTTTGTCTTTTTAAAAATATTTGTCACAGTTGGGAAGTTGGGAAATAAAACATATAGAAAAATATACTGATTAAAATTAAAGCAAAGCAAAACATGCAATAACGATAAAATTATACAAATAAAACCAAATAATACAACAGAAAAGTAATTAAATAACAGTTTATCCATAGAAATAGACGTTTAATGACCAGTACGAAAATGAAACTAAATATTACAACAGCAACAAAGGTACATGTCAGACTTGACCCCGTAAGAAAAATTTTATTTATGCGAAATGTATTATTTTAATTCCATACATTTCCAGCTTTGGGTGACGCCTGTCATCAGACTAGCAGTCTCAGGCTTTTATTTTGTAGGGTAAATGACTCCACGTCAGGTCATAATATCCGCTGCTTGCTAAGACTGGATTGCACATGTGCGTAAAGGCTACAAGCATGTCTGCTGAGATAGGAAGTTGGTTCTTTAACTCATCGTGACAGATTATCAGTGAAGGTCTCTGACACATCTGTGGATTGATGGACTTCTCGGGAAGCTGATTCGAGTTTCTCCAGTGCAGAGGCTGCCCCTTGTATAAATATGGCTGGATTTATTGCAAATCAGCACAGGTTGCTGCTTGTATTGAACAGAAGATTTCACGCACCTTTATCAGCCTCCCAGGTTGCCTTTTACTACGTAACAGCTTCACACCTGAACCCAAAGGACAGCAAGGTCAGCCCTGTAGCGAGGGGGCGCTCCAGGGTCCAGCACAAGCCTGCAGAAGGGCAGGAGCATGAGGGGTCAACTCAAAGAAAAGTGTTTAAAAGTGAGATCTCACTGCTGCAGAAGCAGATGAGGGGAGATGACTTCAGAGTGTCACCTGAACTCAGGAAACTGTGCTTGGAAGATTTCCCTGCAGAGAGGGAGAGGCAGGTGAAGCAGAAACTTGCACCTGAAGCCAAATCTAAGGACTGCGAGGTTGTTTTTGGCGTTGCTCCCTGCTTCTTGGCTCTCACTCAGGGAAGGAGGAGGGTCCGTAAGCTGTTTGTAAAAGATGGCGAGGCCTCTCACAGGGCGTCTGTGTTGAAGGTGTGCGAGGAGGCTCATCTGCAAGGAGTTCGAGTCCATCGGGTCAGCAGGAAGGAGCTGGACAAGATGTCCAATGGGGGAGTCCATCAGGGAGTGTGCCTGCTTGCCAGTCCCCTGAGCTACCTCACCGAGGACTCTGCACCCAGCAGGAAAGATGCTCCACTGTGGCTCGTTCTGGAGAGAATCCACGACCCCATGAACCTCGGCGCCATCCTGCGCTCTGCTTATTTCCTCGGGGTGGACAGAGTCGCCAGCAGTCTTCGCTACACCTGCCCGCTGTCTCCAGTGGTCAGCAAGGCGAGCTCGGGCATTATGGAGGTGATGGGGGTGTATGGATATGAAAACCTTGCAGAGATGTTGAAGCTGAAGATGGAGCAGGGCTGGCAGGTGGTTGGCACAGTGGGACAGGAAGCAGAAGTGTCGCAGATGCCCATCACCAAGTGTTCAGACTTTAAAATGACCAAACCCACGTTGCTGCTGATGGGAGGAGAGGGAGAAGGACTCTCCAAGGAGCTGCTCTCCACGTGTCAGACACTTCTCACCATCCCAGCGGGCAGGGAGCTGGTGCCTGGCATCGAGTCTCTCAACGTTTCTGTAGCCACAGGCATCCTGCTGCACTCTTTGCTGTCCTCCAGGAGCTCGTGATTGTTTCCTGGGATTTGTTGACTATATTTTCTCTGCTATCTGTTATTTGGCATTGATGTTATTTGATACTTGTTACTTGATATCAATGTTTTAAGTCATCTTACTGTGTAATTTGTATCTTTGTACAGCACTTTAGCCAACACTACTGTTGCAATTAAATGTGCTATATAAATAAACTAAACATAGGTAAACGTCCACATTTTCAAACCTTATCCATGTGTGTTTTGATTCAGTACAGGAGTACGTCCTGGTCGCCCAGCATCAGGACTGTGTAGTGTCTATTATTTTTTATGTCTTTTGCTCACATTTTAAGGTAGGTTTCTGTATAATCAAACATGGATTTGGGTACGCCAAAGTTTCAAGGTGCAAAATGTCCTCCACGTGTCAGTTTGAGGAACTTTTGATTGGACAATTGAAGCATGAGGACCAAGCGTGACAGCTACACTTTTACTGTGTTTTGCTCCACACAAGGTTTCTTTTATCCCCCTCACAAATGTTGCTGTCCTCCTCACAGACCCTTGGTTGTGTGATGATACAGTAAATCTAATTATGATTTTTCTGCATTTGCAAAAAAATATTTGGTAACACAGTGTTTCTTGTTTAAGTTTTGGTCCTCCTCCAGAGGCCTGGATGTTTGAGGATTTGATGGTTCGGCTGCACCTTCCTGAACAGAGACCTCTGATGTTGTTCCCAGAGACTGTTGGAGCCATGATTCCAGCTCCTGTTACCAGTGGGATGCTTTGATTTTACCTTCCAGTTGTTCCTTGAGCCACTGGGAATTCTTGATTATCTCATATCCTTTCTATCTAATGCTACTGTCAGCTGCTATTGCCCAATCTATCACAGCTGCTGTCTTCTGCTCTTTTGCAATCACCGCTATCTCTGATTGGTTGGCCAGCAGCTGCTTGTGTATCCCACAAGATTCTCATCCACCTCAGAGGTGTCTCCCATCACAACAGATAGGTTCCAACCCCTACCCGCTACTTTAGGTTGGATAAGTGGTGGGTAGGGAATGGCAAATAACTTTTCACACTATTCCTCCAAAAATGTGTGTGTGTGTGTGTGTGTGTGTATATATACACACACACACACACAACACACACAACACACACACACACATATATATATATATATATATATATATAATATATATATATATATTATATATATATATATATAATACATATACACATACATATACTTACATTTTAAGTCAACTGATTTCAATTTTCTCTTTATCTGCTGTCTTTTGTCTTCGCCTTACACATTATTTATTGTACACATGTTGACCCTTGACCAAAGAAAAGAAACACCTGTGGAATAAGTGACACCATAATGACTCATATGCATTTACTGCCCCAGTACACCATGACAATGAGTAGACATGCACAGCACAGTAGGAGGACCTCCCCTAAGTGGAATGCAGCCCTGATTAATAAACCAGAGCTTTTCCTGCTGCAACACGTCGACTGTCCACTGAGGAAAGAAGACTGCGGTTACGCTGCACATCAAACACTACGTGTCCAAAGGTTTGTGAACATATAATCACAGCAGCGGGGAATTTATCAGTCACAAGACCATCAGTGACGTGCAGCACTGATACTGGCTGATAAGGTGTCGATCACATCTGCTGCTTTAGTTTATCTTGGAAGCATGAATGAGGGTGACGTCAGGGCTCCATGCAAGCTTGTCAGGTTCTTCCTCACCAAACTGTAAAACTATTTACTGAAGCCCAGGGCAAATGCACAATTTTTATTGGTTGTCAGGTTGTAAGTTGATAGTTTTGCTCATCTCCTGTGACAGGTGTGTTCCCATGAGTGTTGTCTTCTTCTTTACTGTCAGGAAAAACAAGCAGTTCTTACACTTCTATTAACAAGAATCCTAAGAATAAAGGAAAGACAGTAGGAGATGTCTACATACTTTTGGTCATGTTACTGAGATAAGATCTCCATTTAAAAAACACTTTTCGTTTTTTTGTAGAAACTGAAAACTTAAAGTGACATTTACAAATTAATGAAAAAATAAAAAGGTTGTGGAAATATACTAATTTTTTTTTGTTTAAACCTTTATAACTAAAACTGCAAATACAAACCAACTTTCATTATCTAGCAAAGAAAATAGCATTTGAAGAGAATATAATGAAAGCTAGAACAAAACAGATACATAAAAGTTAATTTTTCATATTCTGACTGCTGTAACACAGTCATTTCCTAGATTTTTATATAAATAAAGTATTTTTTTATTATTATTTTCATATAATGGCTTTCATATCAGTTACACACATCAGTGGTTTACTCAGGAGGTTCGACTTGTGCCTAAATGATACTTTTCATCAGGTGGTAATTAAGTCCTTTTGGACTGCACCAAGATCCACATTTTTTCCAGAAAGCTAAAAGCTTTCCAAGCTTTCACTATAACAGCTATTTACATCCAAACCAATCCTCACTCTTAAGAGGTCAAACTTAGTTTGGTAAATCTTATTTAGGATTTTAACACTCACCCTTATACTTTCTGCCTTTCTTCAACGTCAAATTTCAGAATATGATCACAGTTTATCAGTTTTAATTTATATTATTAGAATTTTTGTCTTCCAATTCACTTAAACACAGGTTAGTCACCAGTATGGGTTTCCTCATTTTAGTTTAAGTGCTTCAAATTTTTTTAATTGTGTTTTTTGTTATTTCAGTGGTAGTTTTAGCTTGTCTTTATTATGTAATGGGTGGCATTTGTCAGGGACAGATGAAATGTTTAAAACTGTCGCATAATAAAATAGTGGTTTAACACATTTGCAAATAAGCGAAAGATTCCCAGTTTCATCACAGGAGTTGGCATAAATCCCTTTCGGGTTGTGTCAGGAAGCGTGTCTAGTGTAAAAAATCTGTCGTAACCGCCACATGGAATGACCTGCTGTTGTAGCTCCTTTTAAATAAGCGTCAGGGGCGGATCTAGAGAAATTGTCTCAGGATGGTATGAGGGTGGCATGGAAATCAGATGGGGTGGCAAAATCAAAGCTTTTTTTTTAAAAAAAACAAAACGCAGGTTTTACATATGGTTAAAATGATTCAAATGCAGTAAGTATACACATGTTATGTAGACCACATAGTTAAACATTCAGTTACATAAAACATGTGAATTTTGAGTTTATGCACTGTACAGCCTGTATAATAAATAAATATGTAGCCCAATACGTATAAAATCCAGAAAGCAACACAACATGGGGCGGTTCATTTACAAGGAAAGGTCTAACTTAAGTTTCGCTTTTGGAAAAAAATTACACTGTCAGGAACAAGATTTTAAATTTGTATTTCACCTTCAAATTGTTTTATTTTATTTTTTACCTTGCCTTGCTTGGCATCATTCTTTTCAGCACAACCTCACGTGTCTGAATTTACAGTTATTTTTTCATTGACATACTGTATCAACACAACTGATCTGAAATCACACAAAAAACATAAAATCCTAGTAGTAGTTTTTTTTAAACTGTAAAAACCACAAACATGTTTAGTAAATTCTTTTCACAACTTCAAATGCAAATATAAATTGTACATTTTGAAAACTTATGCATACATTTTGTAAACAATAAAGTTATATACAACTATTTATCTAAAAATGCAGCCAACACATCTGGTGTTTGTTTGTTTTTTGTTTTTTTTAAATTGTACAGCCATTTAAAAATACTACTATAACTAAAACGAGAAAACAATCAGGTGTTACGATAAAATGTCCCAGAAATTATTTTTGCCAGTACAAAGACAGAGGAGAAAACCACAGGGATAAACCCTGCAGGCCTCTAAATAGGTCTTTCACTTCTCTGGTTTTCCACCTGGAGACAGTTTACATTGCACACTAACTATACCCTAACTCTAAGATCTAAAAAAAAATCTTAACCCCCCCCCCCCC